TTTTTTTTTTTTTTTTTGACTATATATCAATAATTTTAAATGCATTTCTTAAGAATGCTATTTATTTCTTTATATGTAAAACTTTAGTGTACCTTTGAAAAAAAAAAAAAAAAATTTTTTTTAAAGCAATGTTAACTAAATTTCTTGTATCTGATTACTCAACATGCATAAAGCAGATTCTGGCTGTTTTAATATGGTGATGATTGTTATATCACCGTCACTTCCAGCAGAAGCGTGTGCCGGTGATTTAAAGAAGATTCTCAATGAACTGGCGGCTCTTCAGTCTCCCAACAGCATCGCCAGAGCTGCTAGTGTAAGTGATGATCAGTCCATCATTCGTCCCGAAACACCATCATACAGCACTGTGTGTATGATACCGCTGGACCATTTATAAACAAGAAGAAATTATAAAATAAAAACAATCAAAATAAAACACTTACTAAGGAAGTATAGCGGATTACTTGCAAAAAAAATGATATAAATATCAGTCATCACTCTATATCTCCAATAATGTGTCTTAGTAAGATGAGATTGAAATGATCCAAACATATAATGCAATGCAATCCAGTGATGATTGAGAGATGAAGAAATAAACGCTCCTCAAAAGATCCTGAGGATCAGATTTGAGACTCTAAAACATGATTGATGGAGAATCAAGTAAAGCTGAGCTGCTTCAGTCCAGTAAGTGTTCATCTGGAAATATTACTACAGTTATTCTGACATTTACTTGATCAAAATCAGTAAAGATCTGACAACAGAAAGACACGTGAAGCTCCAGCTGAAGCTGGACGTTTCTACAATTACACTAAAAGTGCTTTTACTTGATAAAAAAACCTCTGAACTATCAATCAGTTCAACTTATCAATCAACTTTTTAACCATCTTTCTCTATTACTGCTGCAGAACCTGGCCAAGATGTGCAACAGCGGGAGGAAGTTAGATGTTTCTGAATGTGTGAAAACGTCCAGTCAGACGCTGTGGAAATGACGAGGATGGAGATGATGAAGCCTGCAGGACTCAAAACCACTGTTCCTAAACGCACATTAAACAAGCTGTCAGTCAAAACCGCTTTCACTAGCTGCCATCGTGCTTAACACTTCCCTCGAGACGCGGTAAACACATTCATGTTTGTTGTCCGTTTCTTCCTAACTGTTTCTGATTGTATTTGACTACATGATGTGAGCTAAGAAAGTGTACATGACAAATAAACACACCTTGTCAGGTATATATTTCAAATGTAGTATTCTTTTGTTACATATAATGCTGTTTTCTTGGAAGTATGCAAAATGACATGTTTTCACGGCCATCTCATTATTCAGTGTGTTTATTGTCTTGATACCATTTCGTCAGAATGCATGATTACTTTTCTGTGTTCGTCAATGGATTAAAATACTTTCTACATTTTGCATTTATAGAATATTCTTGAAGGCTCCCCCTTGAATATTCCACCAAAACAAATCCCACCAAAAATTATCTCCCTTCCTGTGTGATGGCATCAAGGAATTGACTTTGGTTTAAGATACTAAAAAAAATTGTGGGCACCAAAACCATAATAACTGAAAAAAATATTCTCTCCCAAAAATGTGCTGTTTGAAACATTTTAGTTTGTGATATTGTGATTAAAGAAAACTAACAAACATGTTTGCATGTGTAATATTTTATAATATATTAGCACATATGCATTAGTTTACCCAAAAATGAAAATTCTCTCATCATTTACTCACCCTCCACTTGTTCCAAACCTGTACGAGTTTCTTTCTTCTGTTGAACACACAAGAAGATACTTCGAAGAATGTTGATTGACTTTCATAGTAGGAAAAAAAAATACAGTGGAAGTCAATGGCTGCCATCAGCTGTCTGGTTACCAACATTCTTCAAAATAACTTCTTTTGTGTTCAACAGAAGAAAGAAACCCATACAGGTTTGGAACAAGTGGAGGGTGGGTAAATAACGACAGATTTAATTTTTAGGCGAACTATCCCTTTAAGGGGTTAAATAGAATGACTCAGGCAACAAATAAACGTGATTTTTAAAATAAAGCCAAATATTCTTGATTTACTTGTCAAGTAATTTCGTGAATTGTGATATTCCAAGCTCAAATTATGTTTAATAAACTTACGATAAACCAGATAAAACGATTAGAACATTATGGCTGTGTCTCAAAACCTAGTGAGCGTCCTACCTAGACAGCGTTTTCTTCCATAACTCTTCACTGCGCTCTAGGTTGAAACCATAGGTTGAAACACGGCCCGTTTGTGACGTACGCTGTCAATCAAAACTCCTCCCACTCGTCCAGCCAATCAGAGCGGCGCTTGTCCATGTGAGCGCTGACGTCAGAGCGCTTGTCCTGCTAGGTTTCCAGCGCAATGGCGGCGACGCGGCTGTTTCTGAGAGCTTCACCCGTTAAGTCTTCGTTAACCGGGTTAACCGGTGGCGTGCGCAGCAGTTTGGGGTTAACTCTGCTTAAACGGTCCCCTGACTGCACAGCCGAGCCGAAAGCGCAGAGGAGACATGCAGCGCACTTCACCTATCACCCTGACCCTGCGCCTACTCAGTACGGTAAATGCCCTTGTTTACACTTTACAGTGGAGCTGCAGAACAGGAAAGAAGGACTCGCTATTAAATAATATTCATAATACGTAAGCCTGGCTTTGCTGTGGTGTCAGTCTTGCTCTCAAATACACACTGACTGAGTTGTGTCATTATGCACAAATGAATAAATACAGTGCTTGTTAGGATGAATCAAAATCTCATTTAATTCTGACTATATAACAAACTCACACCGCAGCTAAATATATGACGGCAAAATTAATGTCATACAAGTAATTTCAAACAGTGACCACAATGGTACTTGACATGTAACTTATGAGGTGATTGGGTTAGTTTGCTAAAGTGGAATGAGCACATTATTTCATAGAGGCTGGATGGGGAAAAATAAGATATAAAAATAAATAAACTATTTTATGAAAATACTAATTAGACATTTTTTGACAGTTCCCTTTATTAAAACAGTTAAAACAATATCTTAAGTCATACTTGTATGTCATATTCATATTATATGAGTACGGTATCCATAATTGCACACATACATGCATAATCGCTGCATATCATTATAATATAAATTATTGTATTTTGTTACAAATTTTCCACATAACATGTCAATGAGTAGAACATTAATGCATTGTAATGCTGCCGTATTACTTTTTATTTTTAAATTATAGTTTCATTAAGTAAGGTGCTAAGGTGTAAAATGTCAAAATTATGCCAATAATGCATAATCAGCATGCACACATTTGCATATCATGCTGTTTAAAAACCAAAATGACACAATCAACATCTCTGTGGTTGGTAATTTTCAGGCCTTTTTGCTAAATGATTATTTGTGTAAACCTGTCTTATGCTGCCTAATGTCTGTTTCCTGAGGTTCACTTATAATGTTAGTAATATATATATTTTTCAGTGCATATAAACCGACAATACCTGTATTACCAATGCATCTGAAAACAAAACGCAAAACCACAAACCCTCCTCTGACGTTTACTAGCAGCGAAATAGAAGAATAGGTGTTTATAGCTGACTCTTGCTGTACGATTGACTTGAGTGTCTCTGCAGGCCCCACACAGAAGATGAATTTATTCCAGTCTGTGACCAGTGCCTTGGACAACACGCTCGCCGGCGATCCCACCGCAGGTACGAGAGCAGCTTAACCTCTCATTTCAGTGTGTAACTGAGGGTCTTGAGTGCATCAGCTGGTGCGATATATTAACACCTCTGTCTCCTGCAGTGATTTTCGGTGAAGATGTGGCGTTTGGTGGGGTGTTTCGATGCACAGTCGGCCTCAGAGATAAATACGGTGAGTTTTCATGCTCCTAGGACACATGAGGTGAAGTGTGCTCACCTGCGTGTTGTGTGCGCTCACACTAGATGGCAGCACAGTTCCTGCCTGAAGACTGAGTTTAGAATGAAATACCTGCTTACTATTCACTGTGTACTGCATACTTCAAACATAAGCAGTACACGGTAAATTGTAAGCAAGCTAAGTGTGAGTGGTGACCGTTATCAGCTGGGAAATATAAATGTTAAATGTTTCGAAATTTAAATTTGAAATTGGTTTTGTGTAACAATGTTCTATTTTTGTGAGAATGATCAAATGGGGAGTCAAAAAGAGATAAAAAATAGGGTTATTTATTAAATAAAACTACAACTCAAACCATAAACAACGTTTCCATTACCTGAAAAAAAAAAACATTCCAGCTATTATAGTTCTCATTAAGTACTGAGATAATTAAAACTAAATAAAAACTAAATCTTATTATAAACTATATAGACCAAATTTAAATAAACTAATAAAAACGACAAAAAAAATTACTAAACCTTTAATTAAAATGAAAATGACAACAGAAAATATAAAAATAAAATCGTGTGTGTGTGTGTGTGTGAGTGTGAGTGAGTGTGAGAGAGAGTGTGTGTGTGTGTGTGTGAGTGTGTGTGTGAGTGTGAGTGTGTGTGTGAGTGAGTGTGAGTGTGTGTGAGTGTGTGTGTGTGAGTGTGTGTGAGAGTGTGTGTGATAATAAAATAAAATATTATCAAAAGCTATAATCAGTGATGCTAAAATAACAGTGCCTGTGATCACTTTGTTCATCACACTGGAAATGTAAAGTTAGGTTGAGTGCAGTGCATTGTGGGATGCAGTAATTCATGCAGTGTGTCTGTTGTATTCTGCACATTTGGCCATTTAGTGTCTGTCTGGATGTAATTAGTTGCTAGTATGTTAATCGGTCATATTAAGAGGTGTTCAAGTGTGTTTGCATTTGCTGCTAAAACTTTAAAGCTGCATAAATCAGCATGAACTTAACCTTGAGGTCAGATCTTGTCCTGTATCTAAATAAAGGAACTAAATAAAACAAATAACACTAAACTTGTATATTTTCTTGTACAATTTGTATATTATTAATTTAAGCAAACATCAAAGAATGAATGATTTGCTGGAAAAAGCATGTGACTCTTTGGCTTTATTATATGGTAAAAACTTGAGTTCTTAAGCACAAATAACTGTAGATCAGTCCAGAACATTGGCTTTGTTTGAGCCAGTCTTCATTAGACACTGATTCAACTCTGATTGAATGATGGCAGGAACTGCTTTCAGGTGTTTCTCTAACATTTCTCTTTAGTTAAGGTTGGAACTATGACTTAGCCCTTACTAATCATTACATTTCTTCTGCTTTAATCGTTCACTGGTGAACCGCTCATGTGTTCAGAGTCATTGTCTTGATGCAGGACCCAGTTAAAGCTTTTGGACCATTTTTTTTTCTGATAGAAAGTAATAGTTTTATTCAGCACGGATGCATTAAATTGATCAAAAGTGACAGTAAAGACATTTATAATGTTAGAAAAGATTTCTATTTCAAATAAATGCTGTTCTTTTGAACTTTCTAGTCATCTGTAATTTATTTCTGTGATGCGCAGCTGTATTTTCAGCATCATTACTCCAGTCTTCAGTGTCACATGATCTTCAGAAATCATTCTAATATGCTGATTTGAAAAAAAAAATAAATAAATAAATGGATGCTTTTATTCATAACGGATGCATTAAATTGATTAAAAGTGACCTATTAAAAGTCGCATTTATTTCAAATAAATGCTGTTCTTTTGAACTTTCTAGTCATCAAAGAATCCTGATAATAATAATCATGTTTCTTGAGCTGCAAATCAGCATATTAGAATGATTTCTGAAGATCATGTGACACTGAAGACTGGAGTAATGATGCTGAAAATACAGCTGCGCATCACAGAAATACATTACAGTTTAACAGATATTCACATAGAAATCACTTATTTTCACTGTTTTTACTGTATTTTTGATCAAATAAATGCAGGCTTCGTGATCAGAAGAGATTTCTTTCAACCTCAAACTATATACAGTATATAACTTGTATTTAAAAATATATATTTTTTTATAATATTTTAAATATTAGAAAAGTTTCCCTTTATCACTATATTCACCAAGGGGTTAATGAGATGATTCTGATAACACATCAATAAATACAATGTGTTTACTGTATATACTGTTTAAATATTAAGTTGTTGTCTTGCATCTTGAATCCGGTCAGTTCTAATGTTTCATCTAAAAACACATCTGACTTGTTTAATATAGAAACAACTTTGAAACGGGTTATTTTTTTATTTAATTTTTTTGTAACCAGCTTGTTTTCTAATCTGGTGTGATATGCACATGACATTTTGATAATTTGCATTTTCCTCTGAATATTCATGCACAAATTGCTCTGTTAAAGCTCCTCTAAACCAAATTTAATATGTGCTTTCAGTAGAACATCATAATGTTTGTGCATTTGCGCTCTTTGCCATTCATTTTGTTGCACTTCATCAATTATGCAAGAGTAAATGAAGTAGATTCAGATTGAACAGAACACCCTCTACAGTTTTCACAAGCCATAAATAGTTAAATTATGCGGCCGCAGAGAGTCAGGAAAGAGGAGGAAAACAGACATTATGGTAATGATTAAAAAACAAGACATCTGCTGTTTGCCACTCGTTTTGGAAAGAAGCGCTATATATAGAGACACTCTGTGATGTTTTGAAATAAACACAGATCCGCGACTCCAATATGACTCCCGCCGCGTGGGTGCCTTTTGTTTGCTATTGACGTCAGAGGTGTTGACCTTTGAGAGGGATCATTATTTTCCGTGCAGTCTCGTTAGACGGGAACGGGGTTTTCGTGGCACTCATTTGAGAGAGTCTCTGCACGGTGCGGATGCAGGTCAACATGTGAAAGACTGACGCACACGCGGCCGTAATACAGTGCCACCGCTGACCGTCTGAACACGCAGCTCCTTCTGTCTGCTTTAAATTGCTTTCTGTGAAGTGGATTGTGGACTGCGGCCGGTAAACACTGTATTATCTCTGAAATGCCCATCAGCTGCTTGTTGAATGCATTCCTTATTCAACAAAGAAGCTTTTTTATTTCGAGGATGGTGATTTGTGAGTCGACTAAAACTTTGAAATGACCAGCAAATTCCTTTTCTTTTGCATTATTTAAAGGATCGTTTCAGGTTTAAAATTAGAAAGAATCATTTGTGACCCCGGAGCACAAAAGCAGTCTTAAGTCTAGTTGTATCTCGACCAAATATTGTTCTATACAAACAAACCATACATCAATGGAAAGCTATTTATTCAGCTTTCAGATGATGTATACATCTCAATTTTAAAAAATTGACCCTTATGACTGGTTTTGTGGTCCAGGTTCACATTTTGACTTGTTTCTCGGTTTGTAGAAACAAGCAAATCATGTTTGCAATGGAGGTTTATGGGCCAAGACGTTCTGGAGGGTTTAAAAGCAGAAATGTGCACCTTGTATTTTTGTTAGAGTGCTTATTTTGTATGCAAATCTGTTATTCTGCAGTCGTTAAGTCTAAATCGTCCTTCTGCATTCTCGGTGGATGTGCATGTTAAGCCTGCTTTAAGATAATACCTTGACAGATTGTACAATAAATTGTAGCCAAGATGTCTAGCCACAATTCAGCGTTGTCAGCGGGTCGTACACTGGATGTTAGGGGTGGGAATCTTTAGGCACCTCACAATGCGATCCTACTCCAATTCTGCGAATCACGATCCGGTTCCAAAATGATTCTTCAGCTACTACTTTTTTTTTTTTTTTTAATTAATAGGTTTACCAACTTTGAATATAAAATTTATTTGTGTGTTTTCATTAAATTACATATGTAAGTACTTTTTAAAATAATTACAAATTAACTCCCCGCCAGCGTTAAAGGAGACATCGGATGCCCATTTTCCACAAGTTGGTATGATTCTTTAGGGTCTTCATGAAATGTCTGCAACATGCTTTGGTTAAAATTCCTCAGCGGTCGTGTAAAACAACACCCTTTTTACCCTGTCAAAAACAGCTCTGTACACAGCGACTCATTTCGGTGCATGTCTCTTTAAATGCTAATGAGCTACTGCTCCCCCCGCCCCTCTCTTCAGTGGAAGAGGAAAGGCGATTTGCAAATAATCATAAGAAATATAAAGTGTGGGACTGACTTCTTCTGGAGGTGCAGCTGGATCATGAACAGTGGGTACTGATCCATCCTTGAGTTTGAACTTTTTAGTTTTGAATTGTCCCTCGTTCAGAAAGCAGTCTAGAGTAAAATGATTTGCACAAACATAAACGCATTTATGTAGATTGGGGGGCGCATTCCCTTCAAAAACAAAAGTAATCCACTGTGTCTTCAGCAGCTCAGATGTCGGGAGTAAATGACGACTGCTATGTTCATTCTTACATCCAACAACAGAACACCTCAATCGCTTAGGAGCCATTCTTGTCTACATCTGCTGCGGCGTCGAAACGATGAAGGACTGTTTACAGCTCACTCAGGGCGGGTCTATGCTAAAACAGCAGTGTCCGTCAACAGTCGTGGGAGGGGCCTGTGCAAAGTGAAGTCACTTTGTCCAGATTCTTTGAACGGCTCGCTCTGAGAAAGTGCTTATGATTTGTGGGGATTTAAATTCAAACACCATGTAAAAGTGAATTTTGCGTCCGATGTCCCCTTTAAAAAAAAAAACGCCAGCATTTTTGATCATTTTCACAAATTCTTCATGGCCCCCAGAATATTTTGTTGTATGAATATTTGAACATGCAATATGTCAAAAGAAAGAACAGAGTCTCTGCTTTTAAACAAACAAACACAACCCATTTTATTCTAGCTTCATGAATTCTTTTTTATCAACACTTAAATGTGGGCAAGTTTCATAAAAAAAATAAAAAATTAAGCTCCTGAACAAAAGGCTGAGAAGACCGCATTTTTGTCAAAGACAACATCCAGATCAGATTCAGAGCAATAATCCAGACACAGATGGAGTGGATCACTACTTCAACACTGCAAAGCTTCACAGTCCTAAACCACTTCCTGCGTCATCATTTCATTCGCTAACGTTAGGCAGTTTTGATTTATATGCTGTTTAATGCTTGATCGCCACATTATTTTACATGCATCTGCTTGCATACATGATCTCTTGTTATGCTTCTTCACTTCTTCTTGATCCAGAGATTCAGTACTCTTTTAGAAGATGCGTAATAGCGCCTCCTACTGTATAACAGTGAAAACACTGGCAGGGAAAGAGTTAATAATAAATCAAAACAATTGTATGTTAAGAATTATAACTAACTATAGCTGCAAAACATACAAGCAAATATAAACTATATATTACTGATAGCATCATAGACCGCAGCAGATCCAAATGAAGTTCTTAGCAATGCATATTACTAATCAAAAATTAAGTTTTGATATATTTACAGTAGGAAATTTACAGAATATCTTCATGGAACATGATCTTTACTTAATATCCTAATGATTTTTGGCATAAAAGAAAAATCAATAATTTTGACCCATACAATGTATTGTTGGCTATTGCTACAAATATACCCCAGCGACTTAAGACTGCTTTTGTGCTCCAGGGTCACATTCTTATTCAGTGTTGTGTGTGTGTGTGTGTGTGTGTGTGTGTTTGGCAGTAAGCAGAATACGGCTGTTTCTAGCACACACAAGTGCCATCTATATTATTGTTTTTCTCTAAATAAAGCATAGACTTCATTCAAGCCACCAAAAGACAAATGTGCTGAAAAATCTTCCAGTCTGGGTCATTATGTGCATTAACCATCGTGCATATTCATTACCGTGATATATCGCATTACCGAATACCGGCACAAGTCTAACCACAATTTGAGGCACTTAACAACAATTGTTGCAGCACTTCTCGTCCAGTACAAGACACCTTCTATTGTCTTATGCATCAAAGAAACAAGCACGCAGCCATCTTTAGAATTCTGTCTTTGATCCTTCGTTTTTTGGAGTAGCTCTATTGCATCGCTGTTGAGGAGTAATTAGCTGGTGAAGTGGATTTACTTATTGTCGAGTTAATGAAAGTTATCATGAGCATTGTAATGTTTGAAAGGGATGTCATAACAAATGTCAGTAGACCGGGAAGATTTTAAAATGAGCGGTTCATTCATAAATTGGTACGAGCTTACCTTCTCACTCTGGAAATACAAACGGAAGACAGAAGACAACGAGCGCAGCGCTGAAAAGAGGCGGAGCTACAAAAGGACTACAAGAGTGCAAAACTGCCAGAACTTAAGATTCATCACAAAATGTCACGCTAAGTTGTCAGAGGCTCACAATTTTACTTTACGACAACTGAAATCCTTTATGCGCTTAGAAATAAAGGTGTTTTCACAGTCATGCCTTAGAAGAACCATCTGGGGTTCCCCGAAGAACCTTTCAGTGATCATTTCTTGAAACAGGGTTGTCCAAGCCTGCTTCTGGAGGGCCATTTTCCTGCAGAGTTTAGCTCCAACCCCAATCAAACACACCTAAACCAGCTAATCAAGGTCTTCAGACTCACTAGAAACGTCCAGACAAGTGTGTTAGGGTGGGTTGGAGCTAAACTCTGCAGGACGTTGAGCCTCCAGGAGCAGGATTGGACACCCCTGTCTTAAACAAGCCATTATTTCTTAGTGTAAAAACATTTTAATAATCTAAAGAAAGAACCTTTTTCCACTGTAAAGAATCTTTTTTTGTGGAATGGAAAGGTGCCCTGAATGTTAAAGGTTCTTCATGGATAGGGTGACCATACGTGCCATTTTTACAGGACACGTCCTGGCCAGGATTTCTATATTTGGCTTTGTTTTCCTGTTTTCATACTTGCTGAAGGTAATGATCGAAAAGTAGCTTGACCAATAACGTGCAGGCATTGTACATAATCGACCAATCGTGGCGCGTGAGAAGGTGGGATCTACAGAGAACGGTCGAAGCGATGCAAAAACACGTACAGATTAGATGTGTTCGTTCATTCGACTTGAAGCAGCGCTGCGCAGGCCGATCGTTGTATGACATCAAAGTACCGCGAGAGCGACTCGAAAGCATAAGGATCCGTCTGCTCTCTATAGCTCTCAAGGATGTCATACACAGATCGGTCTGCGCAGCGCAAACAGCCAAAACCTGGATATTTTAGGCAATGTAGAAATCCTGGCCAGGACGTGTCCAATAAAAATGGCACGTTTGGCCACCCTATTCATGGAACCATCGATGCCAATAAAGAACCTTTTTATTTTTAAGAGTGAAGGATCCCAGAAATTAGTCTCCGATGGCAAAATCATGGCCAAAATCATACAGTGTGCAATGAATCATGATAGCTTGCCACTTTGACATTATAACTTTATTACTGTGAAATGCAACTTTGGCTTGTTTTCATAAACTGTGAAAGGAGTCAGTGATTTTGTGGTAATCGGCAGCATGTGTCCATTGAGGTGAACTTGAGTTGTGCCCAGAACAATCCGTTAACTGCTTTTACTCTGTGTAGTGTAGAAAGAGTTTCATGCGTGATTTCACAGAAGCGTCACGTCTTTAGTTATTCTTTATGTGTTAGTGAAGCTTCAGTGGAAGAGACGTTCATGTGCTCTGGTATGAATGAAAATAACTGTCCGCTGTAAATATAGAGACTATTTCATGTGGTTCTTTACTGCGTTAAAGGGGAGACAGAAAACAGACTTTGTTTTTGTGTTTTCCTGATCTTGTGTATGTTTACCCTGTTTTGTTTTGTAATGTAATTCAATTATGAAAAAAAAATTTTGCGGCAGGTTTTATGGAAAGCACGCACGTGATGGAGATTTACCGCTGATTACAGAACCGGCTTTCTGACAAGATGCGCGTTAAATATCGCATGCGATTTATCGTGCAGCCCTAGTTTGAGGTTAATGCTTCATAACATAAAAACTATAAAAAATATTAACAAATATTAAAAGCACACGGTCTGTTGAAGCATCATGGCAGTCATCAAAACTTCAGCTGCAGCTGCATCACGGCCCATGTTTGCGTTTGTGTGCAAATGACTTGTAACTGACATCTTGTCTCATATGGGCTTGTTAGGAGCTTGTTTTGGATGAGCATGTCAGATTTGGTACCTGTTGTGAAGATGCTGATTAAAAACATGCTCATTTAGACTGATTTGAGTGCAGAGTTGATTGACATTTACCTGTTCTCTCCTCAGGTAAGGACCGTGTTTTTAACACCCCGCTGTGTGAGCAAGGCATTGTGGGTTTTGGGATCGGCGCAGCTGTGGCGGGAGCCACCGCTATTGCAGAGATTCAGTTTGCCGACTACATTTACCCAGCGTTTGATCAGGTGAGTCTTTTTTTTAAATAAACTTTGTCCTGGATATTTATTATAATTAAATAGTGTTAGTTCACCCAGAAATAAAAAAAATGTCATCACCTACTTGTTCCAAACATGTATTTCAAAACCCATTTTATTTTAATTCATCTCAGAAATAGAAATGAAAGTATTTTTAATGAAACCTAAGAGATTTCTGTTTTTCCACTGAAAGGCTATTACAACTAATATCCCAAATTCCGTTTTATTTTTTTCCCAAATTCCGTTTTAATTATTCTAGATTCTTTTTTTTTTTCCACAAATTTTTCTGGACTCCTTTTTAATGGTTAAAATAAGTTTTATTAACCAAAAATCATGTCTAATTCATTAAAATCATGAAACTGAGGTGTAATTTTTCTCACCTTATGCTTTATTGTGACCAAATTCTGTGTTTTAGCATGTCTAATTATTTGAATTAATAAAAACATTTTATTTATTCAAATTTATTCTAACAATGGCCTTATGAAATGCTTTTTTTTTTTTCAGAAATTCTGTGTTGTGTATTTAATTTATTCTGGTTATCAAATGAAGGCATAATACATTAATTTAATTTACTTTTTAATTAATGAAAATTAAACAAACTTTATTTTTTGGCAAGAAAAGAGGATTTACTATTAAAATTAAAACATGGAAGAAATATTGTGTGATTATTCCTTAAAAAAATAAAGTTTTAATTTTAGTAGTAGTAGTAATATTACGTACGTCCTACTGCTCAATACTAATATATTTCTGACACAATGTCTTAAAGTTAAACAGAACTTTTATTTTGATTGGTTGCCGTGAATACCTTTGAATTTCTGTGTGTATATGATATGATCAGTGTTGGGAAGGTTACTTTGGAAATTGAATAGATTACAAGTTACCCTATTTAAAATGTAATAAGTAGTGTAACTATTTCAATTACTTTATTAAACACCAAACACCAAAAATTTGATGCATCAGAAAGTTCATGAAGACATTGTAAACATAATCCATACGAATCAAGACATTTAATCCAAGTCTCCTGTAGAGACACGATCACTTTATGTGATTTTGCAGAATTAATTTAGGCTTTTATTCACATAAAAACATTGATCAGCGCACTTGCATAGAGCATAAGCATGCATGTTTGATTTATCTTGTTAGGGTCCTAGCCCCTAGGGGGCGCAGTGTCCTATTGTTTTTCTAAGGATTATTCTTGTTATTCTTTATTATTATTTTTCGTCAAGGTTTTTGGGGCTTTTGGGGCTCAAAAACTGTTGAAAATTGGCACACATCTTGGAATCTGTGGCAATTCAAGCCTAGCAGAGACTGGTACACGGGCATGGCAGAGGGGCTCTACAGCGCCCCCTGGAATCCGGTGGTCCTTATCTCATGCATACTTGCACATATACATATGAAACTCCGTACACATATAGATCTCATCGAGTAGGGTTGGGTATCGATTGAGTTTTTTACGATACGATGACTGTATGGTATGCCACATGCACTGTAATGTTTTATATTAAATATTACATTTTCAAATAAAAAATAGCAACATGATCGTTTTATAAAGTATGCGTTCATATGTGTTGAGGGCTAGATTTTCGCCCGAGGAAACAGCTGTGGTGTGATGAGGGGTGAACGCAGCGAAAACTTTACAGTAGATGGGAAACCGATTGCTCCCTCGTGACCTTCTGTAAACTGTATTTATGACAGAGAACTGCACATATACAGATATTATAACAATCTATCGATAAACACACACCTTGTGTCCTCTGTTTCTGTTTGAGTCCGTTCGCGCTGCGCCGCTGCGGGTCTGCGGATTGAAGAGCGTGCTGAAAGACGGAGAGGAGACGAAGTCTGCCGCCGTTTTCATATGAAATTTAAAGGGGACTGACTCTGAGGCGATCACGAATTTGTGTACAGTTTATGGAGCTAATCGCTATAGCCCCGCTAAAAATTGCCTACCGACGCCCATGCTTCTTACGTCTATTTTGGAGAACCAGGACAAATATTTAAATCGATCGCTCAGGCATTTAAGTGGCACCGAAAT